ACAAGTCCCCTGGAGGAGGATAAGACCACCAGGAAGGTGTATGATATTCTAGAAATTTAAGCAAAAGACAATTTCTTTCTATTATTAGGTAAGAAGTAGGTGCTCTGAATGTCTTACTTGAGAAGTAAAGACAGCTTTGCTTTCTTTGTGTGATTTCGGGAGGTAGTCAGATTTGTCCACTTGTCATATCAATTTGGTGCCTTGCTCAGGCACAAGGGCAAAATGCAAATATTTTCAATAAACAGACATTCTATTGTGCTCACATCCAACCTAGAGATGAAGTGTTTATCCCATATCTGCATTTATACTGCACACTCTCCAAGCTAAAATGTGAAAATCATGATTTATTTCTGGTACAACCCATCATTACATCACTTTTGTGTACAAAGAAAGCAACATTCACTTTTTGGCTCTGATAAGATCTTGATTAATTTATAAATTATCTACAGATGAATCATACAGGGAGTGAGTGGATTGTTATTTGCAGCTATCAAGGAGGCTGGGATTTGTCTCAGCACAAAAGACCATCAAGAACTATAGAACATTTAACTCCCACGGATGCTTCCCAGAGCAGGGCCTTCCACAGAACATATAAATATCAATCAAGCCTGATTTTGCTGAAATATCACTTTACAGATTAAAGAGCTCAGTCATATTTGAGGACATTAGGAAAAGCATAAAATTATTCATAAGTATGTACATCAAGTGTCCCCAAAAATGTTCAGATTAATCTACACAGTTCTGGTTTCGTTGAGGAGATCACCCAGTTTTCTAATTATAGGCTCTTCTGTTAAAGTACGCTTTTGACAAGTGACTGGCTGTCAAAGAAGGACTTCTAATGGGGGCATTTTGCCTTTTACCTTTTAAATATTATTTCAGATTGTTTAAAACTGATTTATTCTATTGTTTAATAGGTAACATGTTGCTTTTAAATACTGTAATTTACAGTAGTTCTAATGTCTAAATATTTTTTATGAAAAATACCTTTATTCGGAGAGTTATAGGGACGTGGTGGCGCTGTGGGCTAAACCGCAGAAGCCTGTGCTTGCAGGGTCAGAAGATCCGGCAGTCGTAAGATCGAATCCATGCAACGGAATGAGCACCCGTCGCTTGTCCCAGCTCCTGCCAACCTAGCGGTCCGAAAGCATGCAAATGCGAGTAGATAAATAGGGACCACCTCGGTGGGAAGGTAAACAGCGTTCCGTGTCTAAATCACACTGGCCATGTGACCACGGAAATATTGTCTTCGGACAAACGCTGGCTCTATGGCTTGAAGAGCGGGATGAGCGCCGCCCCCTAAAGTCGGACACGACTGGACAAAAATTGTCAAGGGGAACCTTTACCTTTACCTTTTTATAGTGTAAATACAATGAATGAAATCTGAAGTAAATCTGAAGTCAGCAGTCTGAAAAAATATTTAAAGTGGGGACAAAGGAGAGAAAAGCCACACTGTCTACTGCTGGTGATTCAGTCTCCTCTCTGGCTTCTGAGATTTCAAAAGGCCACCACACTTCCAAGTATAGCTTGGATGTTGCTTTAAAAATGAGCAAAAGCTAAAGCTTAAATTTTCTAAAACTAAATTCTGTACTCAGTGGCTAAAATCCTATTGCTTAGTGTGGTAAATCACATTGAATCAATGGGGATTTAGTGAGTCAACTCCTATGTAATCTCTGTTGATTCAAATGGACCTACTCTAGTTGCAACTTACTATGGATGAGATGGTTGGACAGTGTCATCAAAGCAACCAATGTGAATTTGACTCAGCTCTGGGAGGCAGTGGAAGACAGGAGGGCCTGGCGTACTCTGGTCCGTGGGATCACGAAGAGTCAGACACGGCTAAATGACAGCATGCTAAAGTAAAATGTGTTAGAGTAGATCTGTATGAATCAGTGGAATTTATGGGAAATGTTGGCTCATGAAATCCCCATTGACTCAATGTAATGTGCTAAGCAACAAGATTTTGGTCAGGAACACATTCTGCACTCTTTCCATGTTCCTGCAGAACTACAGCATCCACACAATATCAAATACTGTGGCCGTCATTAACTGCTGGCAGTTTGCCGGAATTAAAAGTTACCTGGGCACAAGGATGAGGATGGAGAAGAAACCCCAGGAGAAGCTGAAAGAAGTGTAGATAGTAAATGGATGACCTTGAAAAAGATGACCTTGAAAAAAGCATAAGATGCTGGAGAAGAAGAGCATGGTGTCATGAAAGTGAGAAGAATGGGTAATTCATAGAGGAAACTAAAAAAAAAAAAAAACCAGGAAAGTAGGAGACCCTGATTCTTCTTTAGGAGAATGTCCACGTTGTAGGAAAACAGAGAGCAGGGCTGGCCCTATAATTAGACAGAATGAGGCAGCTTCCTCAGGTAGCAGATTTTGGAAATCATGGAACAGCAGCAAAGGTTTTGTTATTTACTTTCTAACTATTGTATTTTACCTCCAAGTGATTGCTTATGGAATCTTTTGCCTCATGCACCAAAATAACCTGGCTGACGCAGGGTGCTATGCATCTTGAGTTGGGAGACTAGAAGGGCATTGGTTTTTGCTGTTCCTCAGGTAACAAAATGTCCCTGTGGGTCAACAGCAGTAGGAAAACTGGTTAAGAGACAAGGTGGTTAAATGGGGCAGGTAGGCAGAAACTTGAAAGTAGCTGTGTTGGTGCAGTGGTTAAACTTCAATATTGCCTCCAAAACTCTGCTTACAACCTCCATTCAATTCCAGGTAGCTGGCTCAAGGTTCACTCAGCCTTCTATCCTTTCAAGGTCAACAAATCGAGTACCCAGCTTATTGGGGAGGGGGGAAGCAATGAGTAGTCTGAATAATTAAATTGAAAGCCACCCAGTGAATGCTTTAAGAGGTATGGGGTGGTATATAAACAGCACACTTTGCTTTAAATGTAAGGAAACAATTCCCAATGTTGAATGAAAATTGCAGGAAGAAGATAAGAAGAAAGGATTATGAGATACCGTCCTGTAGGCCAGGAGCAAGAGCACTGTGCTTTACTAACACAAGAGAAACAGGTAGGAAACAGAGGTTTAGAAACTGTGAGATCTACACCCTGATTGTAGCAATTCTTCCAACTATGTCTTTTATCTTTAAAGCCTTTTTCGTTTGGCAGCCCTTAGTGCAGGGGTGGGCAATTAATTTCTATAGGGGGCCACATAAAAAATCTGAACTGTGTTCGGGGGTCGAACCAACTTTACTTAAAAATAGGCCCCCATTAGGTGGTTAGTAATAGGCCCCCAATTTGTGGTTAGTAATAGGCCCCCATTGGGCGAGGCCCTGCGGTGAACGAACTACAAGGCTGACATAGTTAACTCCCTAAAAATTTTAGGGAGTTAACTATGTGAGCGTTGCAATTCGTTCACCGCGGTGGGGGAGGAAAAAAAACCACCCCGACACTGAACTAACTCACCTGTCCTCTGTTCCCCTGAGGCCTTCCTTTCCAATTGTCTTCTATCCCGGTCCGGATGACGTGATGCGTCATCAAGTCACCTGCGCAATGATCGCTTCTGGCCTCTTGAGCCGCAGGCTCTGCAGTCTGCTGCTCAAGAGTAACAGTGAAAACTTGCGAGGTCCCAGCATTGGATCTCACGAGTTTTGCTTCCTGCCGTGCTGGGTGACCGGAGCCAGAGCTCTGGCTCACTCAGTGGCGACGGGCAGGCTGAAAAGGAGCGGCGACGGGCGGGCCAGAGAGGAGCAGCTTGTGGGCCATATGTGACCTGTGGGCCGCACTTTGTCCAGGTCTGCCTTAGTGGGCAATGGGGATCAGAACACTGTGTGTGCCTGCATTTCCTATGCTGCTGCTAAAGAACTAGCCCATTCTTTTGCTATAAGCTTCTGGTAGCTTAGTAGTGCTATTTAAAATCTGAAATGGCTAGGAATGTGGAAGCCATGGAAACCAAGCAGTGCCAGTTAATGAGACACACCTCTGTCGAATGGAAGCTCCAGCAATTTACTTGATTTGTTCTCACAAAGGTTCTCTGTCCCCTTCCAAATGCCAGTGTTCCTTTCTGCAGTACCACCCACCTCAGCACTTCCTGCACAGTTGTCTCCCCAAATGGTGTTTTTGTAAAAGGAGTCTATTTCTCAGTCAGGACTAAACGCCTGCCTTGTTCCCTGAGCCTTTCCTTTGATGACGTGCATCCCAAACCCTTAATCATTGTCTTGTCTTTAAAGCCTCTGCAATTTTACTTACGTTAATTTTGATCTATACGTGTTGCAGTTTCTTCCCACAGAATATACATACATTTCCCACATTCTGTTGCAAGAATGGATTTGTAGCAAAGGTGACCACAGCTATCGGATAAAAGCCATTTTTCATACATTGTCAGCTAAATCCACTCATCCATTCAATGCATAATGTGCTTCCCTGAACTAAAAGATAAAATTCCCTGAACTATGTCAGTACTTTTTTTCAAGACATAAAACTCCTGAGGATCAAAAGAGGAGACCACTGAAAACCAGTGTATAAATCAATTGAATTCAGTAGTTCCATAGGAGGTTTTCTAGCTATGAAGAAGGGTTGGGTTTTGCAACTGCCTTCCACAAATATTCTAAAGAAGAATCTGTGTAAATCCCACCATGCTCAGTGGGATTTTCTCCTGAAAAGTATATGTAAAGTTGTAGCCCAAATTATTGTATTTCAGTTTTCAAGTTTTCTAATACATCCATTTGTCTGAACAACCTTTGTTACCTAAATGAGATGCAAGAGAAACTCTAATTATTTAGAAATATGTTGCTTGGCAGAAGCTTAGTTTGTCTTCAGAATCTTTATGAGTGTGAACAAAAGACATCAGTGTCAAGGTTCAAACAGGAGCTTCAGGCATACACAAGAACATGGATGCACCCAGAACAGTTTTTGGATTCCTGTCCTTCAAACCTGCCTTCCCATGTCTTTATGACAATTTATGTGGATTTCAAGAGTGGTTGGTCATGTGGCATGTGGGGGTTACTGCTTCAGAACCTTAACGACAAAACCTCCAACACTTTGGGTGTACATATCCTCATTCTCACCCATTTATTTTAACATGGACATTGCTTTAGTAACATGGATAGTATTTAAGGCTGCTATTCTATAATATGTCTGTGCAGCACAGACATACACACAACATTTAATGCATATTGTATAGAATAAAAGTGCAAGCATGAAGCAAAGAAGAAAACTCTGCAACAATGTCAGAGCCATTCATAAAATTCACCAAACTTTCCATTATACAATCTGAGGTATCAAATTTTCATTGTGCAAGGCTGACAATACATTAAGAACATTTGTAATAAGTCATTCAGAGAAATAGCATTGCCTATTTAATCAGATAGAAAATACAAGTACTGCTTATTGTCAAAGAAAGACAGTTTGTTGTTTTCAGCTGTTAAATTAGATGCTGAATCGTACCAAATACAAAACTTCTTCTGAGGATTTTCCTTTGATACTGGAGATACCCCTTTCACTGCATCTTTGTCCTTCAGCCAATGAGTTCTACTTTTAACATTTCAATTGCAGGAGGTCTTTGCTTGGGTCTCGCTTTTAATTCCAAATAACCCCTTTTACTGAAATGTTCTACCTTCCCAAAGATTTTGTGGACAAGGAAAATACACATCTCTGAAGCTTTTCAATGCTGCAATCCAGAAAAGGAACTACTGTACAGAACATGCCCACTTCTTCTCATATCCTGTTCATGTTGTGCTTCTTATATACTATTTCAAAAGCTACACAAAAGCTACTCCAGCCTCTGTCATATGTAAGGTGAATGCACTAATGGAAATACTATTGAAATGACTTAATATCCTTATAGCATTGCTGCATGAGTAAAAAGAGTTTATTAACACAGTAGCTGTACTTTCTGCACAGATCCCAAGATGATGGCATAAGAGACTTTGAACCTTTAGTGTGGGTTTTACCTGTAAGTACTGTATATTGGATGTGCTTCTAAGTTATGGCCGTTCTATATAGGGCAATGTAGATGAGTCAAAATGCAGAGAATTTTATAGGAAGCTAGTACAAGTCAAGCAGTACCTTTATTGGACTATGTAGCTGGGTCACAGGTGCATGGACATCCCTTGATTACTCCTCACCAACAAGATGCTGAATGTTCAAACTGCTTCCCTCTTGACAATAGATACACAAGGTAGAATGAAACCTCTCTGGGAGGTATCTGATCTCTAACAGTTCTTTCACATAGGCACAGAATCACTTGTCATCATGCACCCATGTGCATGCATCCTGAGCAGATCTACACTGTGAAAATACAGGATATGGGAGCACCTGAATTGCAGGTAGTTTGAAAAACACCACTGGACCCCATAGGTTTTTACTACTTCATTTGTTTTTCTCATATTCTGGGGCACTGATACACTGTGTTGTACTCTGTTCATTTATCATACCTGAAAGCATGAGAGCTCACATGGGGTGCCAGGTGCTTCTGAATACCAGTTTATCCACAGTTAGAAGACTAATTTTCCAAGGTTTGTCATGCTGTTCATGCTAATGGCACTAGAAGACCCCTTCCACCAGTGTCCATGAACAGAGAAACACCCAAACCATAGAGCTGTGTCTCCGAAAGCATAGAGAGTAACATTGTTCTGTATATTTATAGATATTGCTCTCTCTTTGAATTTATTTTATTTATTTATTTATCAAATTTATACCCCGCCCATCTAGACCAAAGTCTACTCTGGGTGGCTAATGAATGGCATGAGTATCTTAATATGTACATGGAGAGAGAGAGAGAGAAAGAGAGAGAGAGAGAGAGAGGAATGTAGAAGCAGGTCCTATGTGTAGCATTTATAATGAGCCGAACATTATTAAACAACACATGCACAATACCTCCTGTGGATAAGCAGAAGAACACTGCCAGCAGCAAATTCCGAAGCAGCCAGCCTCCCTTTCCACACCTGGTCATTTTTCATCAGCATTACATGTAACAGCTGAGCCTGTCCACTTCTGCCTTCAGCCCCTCTTTTTTCCACTGTTTCAAATTAAAGGGGACGAAAGACGCTGCTTATCTCAGGTTGCACGAGAGGTTCTTAGTTCTCAGCTTGCTGTGAGGAAACAGCATCCTTACTAGATGGACACGGGACAAACAATGACCCTGTCTTCGAGAAGGACGCTGACAACCAGGAAAACAAAGTAGAGCCCAAACATGGTGAAGCCCAGGAGTTTGTTCATCCTCCACTTGCAGGCCGCAATGGAAAGGATGACAAAGAGCAGCATGATAAACAGGAGGACAATCGCGCAGAACAGCCCGTTGCTGCTCACTGCCACTGGAGCAAGGTTGTTGACTGCCGCAAAAAGGAGCCATGGGAGAGGGAGGCTGTTGGGAAAAGAAGCCATTGGGAATACTCAGAAAAGTGATCTTAAGACTGAAAAATGGCATGTCTTGAAAACTGTGTGCCAACTCGGAATATTGGGTAGTGAAACATAGTGAAACATCCCTTATATAAATTGGTGGTGTGAACCTCTTTATTGTAGTAGGAACAAGAAGGAAGCATGGCTAATCTGATGCTTTTACTTCCAGAAGATGGCAGGGCAACAGTAGGGAGACCGAAGGTTAAAATCTACTACCAGGACAGCCAGATTCTGCATAAACTTTGGAAAGAGGGTCAGTCTGTTCCAGACAATGGTCAGGTCATCAGAAGTGGAAATGCATTTTGTTACAAAACTAAAATTATCAGTGGTACTAAAGCTAATAGCTAAAATGATACAACATAAAGATATCATAATTACTATGCATCTCTCGAGAATCCCAAGAGAGAAGAAACACCCTCCCCCCAGTGAAACTATGCCTTGACTAAGGTTGATGTAAAAGCCTTGTAGACCGCAAGCAGTTCATAAGTCATCTGTTGGCCAGTTAATCAAAGGGAAAAAGAATCAGCTGTTGCAGCAGTTTGCATATTTGCATATTATTCAGAGCATTCTTCTATTTGCTCTCCTCCCTTAGCATAGCTGATCTATTTCTCAGGGAGTTCTTTAAGGTACCGGCTTATCTGCCTCCCTCTCCCATCAACCTCCAAAAAGGATCCTGGAGACTGCTGTGAACTGATGGGAGGCCTAGGCTTCCTGATGGCACTGTACACTGTTTTTTGACTCAGTGAGTCAAAGGGTCTGATATACGGTGAGGCAGGAGCCAAGCTGTTTGGGAAAAATAGTTTGTTGGATTTCATTTCTTAGAACACAGGAAGCTGCTTATAATTAGTATAGTTCTTGGCCCATCTTGTCAAAGTGATATAGTGCTGGATTCTAAGAAAAAATACGTTAAAAAGTCTTCCTCTCACATTCTGTCTTGTCTCCCTCTGTGTCCTCTCTTGTCTCCCTCTCTCTGGGAGAGTGGGAGAAAACTGGAATTAATATATATATATTAATATATTTTGGGGGGAAATTAGTGGGAATTGGCTTGCCACCCGAGTGACATGAGGCACCCACCAGCTGTTTTGGTTCAATAGTGGTGATCATGAATGCTCAAACTCAAATGGAGCAATCTAATTATGCTTTTTTAAAAAAAGTAGCCTCGGTCAGTGACCCAAAAAGATGTAGATAGCTATGAAAAAAGGGTCAAGCCAGTTTGTGATTGCCTGCATCTCCAGTAGTTGCTAGAAAACAGATAAATCCTGACCAAGCCAAAAGTGGTCCAAAATGTAAATTGGTCACATCCCTTGGCCCATTGAGTCTAATAATCCCCCCCCCGACTGGCTGCAGCACTCTAGGATTTCAGGAAGGAGTTTTTCCAGCTCTATATGGAAATGTGCAGAACTTGAGTGTAGGATCTGCTGTGAGCATGTGCTCTGTCACCGGGTTATGGCTCCTTGCTGTTTGGATTGTCTTTCACCATACTAGCTGCAAGATTCTTGGAGTTGTAGTTCAGAAAAATAGTGTTTCCAGACTCTTTTATGAGCTTTTTGGCATATCCCAGGCTAGTTTGATCTTTCTGTTGCTACTATAGGTGAGTTTCCTATAGTTTCCTGTGAATCAGGTTTGGTCCATAGGTGGTCAGATACACATTGCCTTCTGTCTGATCTCCCCCTGAGATTTTGTATTTTTGGATATTTTTGAAAACACAAGCAAAAATAATTTTAACTGGCATAGCAAAGTTTTATTCAGTGCCTTGCTGAAAGCTCAGTACATTTTTTTTAAAAAAAAGGTTCTACTTACCCCACGGTAATGTCAAATATGTTACTTCCTACAGAGCTGGACACTGCCATGTCCCCCAGCCCTTTCCGTGCTACTATAACACTGGTAATTAGGTCAGGGATAGATGTGCCAGCAGCCAAGATGGTCAAGCCCATGATTTCTTCACTGATGCCAATGGTTTCTCCAACCTAAATATGAACAAATCAAAAGAAGCACAAGGCATACATGTTTGCAAAACACATGCAGAAAGGAGCTAACCTGACTGGGATGGGGCTTGGAATATCCATCCAGAGTTTCCTTTTGCTCTTGGGGGATTCAGTGGAGGATGAAATGGCCCCTCCTACTGTTTAATTAAGATGATTTCAAAAAACAATGTATAATGTTTGGATGTCCCTCAATTGTGTGGTTTTGTTGTTGATTTTACTTCTGTGCTTTGCACTGCTTTAATGTTTGATTGCATTGTTTTCATGTCTTTTTTTAAAATTTTGTTGAACTGTATTGCATTTTTTCACTCTTACACTAAGAGAGCATGTTTGTGTGGTAAAGTGATGTCCACTGTGACTTGTATGCATTCTGAAAATAAAGACAGTGGGTCATATTTATATTCATGTTGCATAACGTGCTCATCCCTTCCACCTCTGCAGTCTAAGACAGTGATGATGATGATCTTGCTAATGATGGGGAAAGTGCTGGTGTCTTGCCCCTGCAATCCATCATCCACTGTAAAGTTTCAATTTCTGCAGTGTGTGAGCACTTCAGACAGATAGCCACAGCTCTGTTGAGGACCAGTTATTGCCATGGCCTACAGTCAACTGCTAGTCCCACCTAGACCAAACCCAATGAATCAACTGCTACATGTAAGTCATACAGATCCCACGCATTCAATGAGTTTACTATAGCTGTGACTAGCAAGTAGATTTAGGCTCATATAACTGCAACACTGTTAGTACAATTTCCCCTACATCAGTGAAATCACTTGCATTTTACTGGCTTATTTCTCCTTTTGACTCTCTTCACTGCCAATACTAAAGAAAACTGCTTCTAAAATAATCTGACCGTATTATCCCACCTGAGGTCTTAGGGCTTTTGTCAGCTTTTCTATACTGATTCAAATACATTTTTGAATAGCAGTTTTAAAATGTGAAGCCCTAAGTGGCCTGGGACTTGGGATTTATAAAAACCTTATGGATTTTTACCTTACTTTTCTCCTTAAAAAGGATCCATGGTGGCTTACATACTTAAAAGAGAATATTTAAAACCTAAAAACATTAAGTATACAAATACTAAAAAGAATCAAGCAAATACCACATTAAAAATGGTAAACAAAATCATCACTAAAATCAAATTCAAAGCAAAAAGGCTTCATTAAAAAATTCCTCCAAGAAAGTCAATCACTTAAGGGAAAGCCTGTCAGAAGAGAAAGGTCACCATTTGCTTCTGGAAGGACAGCAAAGATGGGGCCAGCCTGGTTTCCAGAGTTTGGGTGAGCGGGGGAGGTGGAGTTTTGTTGTGGCAAGACCGGTCAAGTTTTGGGAGAGCTCCTGAAACTGACCCCTCAGTTTCAAGGCCCCCAATGTAGAGGCAAAGGATGGTCTGCTAGGAAAAGCTGTGTCTGAAACAGCAGAGGTGACAGAAAGGGGAGAGAAGTTGGCAGAAGCTGTTTTTCTCCCCCTGAAGTCTTTCTGAGTGCACAGACTGAGGTGGAGGCTATGTTGTGTAAAGAGCTGGGAACACCCCTTGCAAGGAGGGGAAGAGTACAGAAGGATTTTGGAAAATATCCTGAGCAGGACTCTAAGTAAGTCAAGATATGTGTTTTGTATAAAGAAACCTTTATGGACCTAAAATAATGACACAGAAGAAAGCTGGGCTTAACGAGTTAATGGAAGTGGATTAGATCCTGCAACATTTCGAGCTGCAGTAGAAGCAAGCCTCCCCTCCCATCCCTCAGCCTTGATTGGGAAAAGGAGAAGAAAGAAAAAGAGGGAGGAGGGGAGAAGGTTACTTGGTGAATGAACTGTTTTAATCAAAGGCAAAGACTCGCTCCTGCGAACTATTTTAATCATCAACTGTCTAATTACAATGCTGATGGAGGAAACTAGAATCAGAAAATAGAACTTTGGAACTTAAGAAGAGTCTTAGATTTTGTAACATCACCGGTTTGGAGGCACTTCTGTTTCCTTTGGCACCATGGTAGAGGCAGCCCTCCCTCCTGTAGCTCAGAACAGCTTTGATTGGAGGACCTTCCCCTAATTACTGAGGCTGGAAAGAAAGATTGAACTGCTAATGTTACTTGTCTCAAGGCATTGTTTGTTATCTTAAACACTCGTTGTTTTGACTGGTGGCTGTGAGAACATTTTGATGAGAGAGAGAGAGAGAGAGAGAGAGAGAGAGAGAGAGAGAGAGAGAGACGGGCATATGGTCAGTGGGAGCTGACCTATGTTTTGGATGGGCTAGGTAAATAGTACTGTTTGAATGAAAGGTGGGGCAGCAGCTACACCCGCTGGGAAAGAAACCAGATAGCAAATTTAGAAGATTAATCATAAAAAAATAAATAAATTGGAACATAACAGTGAAAGGAGGAAAGAAAAAGGCCCCGAGAGGCTCATCTGCGCAGGAACAAAATCTGAAGTTACTGGGGCGAGAGACACTTAAGGATTGTCAACAGAACATTCACAATACGTTATCCATGGGATTACAACAGATACAAGGAGGAATGGCTCAGCTATCTGAACAAATTAGAGATTTAGGGTTGCAAATGACTGATATCAAACACCAAATTATAGAAAATTAAAAAAGAAATAGCCAAAATACAAGAAACCTAAAAAAAGAGAAAAAAATGGAGATTACGAATGCAGAGCTGGTAGTGATTCATATGAAAGAGAACAAGATGAAACCAACCTGCTAAAGATACAAATGGTGAGAGTCAACCTTATACTTGGATTCCAGAATCTTCCAGAAGAAAAAGGTGAAGACACAGTGCAACTGGTAACTAACTTTTTAGCCCCACTTATGGAGATGCGACAAGAAGAAGTAGCGCAAAATATAGATACAGCTCAAAGAATTAATACAGCATACACCAGGAATAACAAACTCCACAGAGAAATTCATGTTAAATCACAAGAATGGTATTTCGAAAAAAGTTCTAAGAAATATGCAAGATAAAGGATCCACTATAAAAGGAAAAGAAATGAAGATTTTGAAACATATTCTGTGGCAAATAAGACAGAAAAGGAGACAACAGGCAGAGCTGATATATTTCCTGAGAAAAAATTCAATTACATCTAAGTGGCTGATATCTGAAGGTGTCTCTATCCAATTCCAGTTGCAGATATATTCTGTTACCTCAACAATGAAGGCACAAGACTTTATGAAAAAAGGGGGAAATGGCTGGGTAGGAAAAAAGAGAAAAAGACAGATGAGAAACAGGAAGGGGAGCAATCAAGTGGATCATTAGGACCAAACTCAGAAGGAAGTTCAGAATTTCAGCTAGAAAACCAAATGGAAAGCACCAAAGGAAAGCACACCATGGAAAAAAGAGGATTTAAGAAGAGGAAAAAAACCTTAATAACAAAAGATGGATAAAATGAGCCTCCAAGTAACTCATATGAAAATAACAGAGTAACATCAGATGTAAAAGAATTCACGATCAAATATAGAAATTAAAATTGGACAGTATCTGTCTTCAAAACTTATAATATGAAAATCAGGAATCGCTTAATGAAATATTTTTTAATAAGTGTTGGAAAGGGTAATTTTAGCCATATTGGGTGGACAGGTAGGGAAGCAGAAAATTAGTGAAGATTATTGCAGGTTAGTATATATTATATATTATGTATCTTATATGTTAGTATATATTGAAATGTTGGGGGAAAATTATATTTTGTGAGACATCAGTTAAACTGGAATGATGTTAATTGAGTATTATGTCTGAGATTGTAGATAAAGAAATGAAACATTTGATAATACATGGTATTACTGTAGCTATAATATGGGAAATATTGGAAGAAAACAGAAACACGGTTATCTTAAAAAGGATGCAAAAATTTGGAATGATTTTATAGTTGGACCTGAAACATGGACTGGAAGGCATAGATAAAAGAAAAATCTGAAGGTCCAATCAGGAAATGAAGAGATTAGCAACTACAGTAATTCTGGTAAAACCTGTTAAATTGTTATTCTTTGTTATTTTTTATTCTAGTAGAATTATATAAGTGGCTGTAAAACTATCCTCACACTCTCTGGAATGTTACCCTTCCCCTACCCATGTCCACTCCCCCATCCCTCTATCCCCAAATCCTATTCCTGTTGAAAACAAATAAAACAAATTAAATCGTCACGATTTGGTTGAGCGGCAGAGAAGGCCCTCTCCCAGGTCCCCACCAAACATACCTGTGAAGATTGGTGAGACTGAGAAAAAGGCCTCTCCTAATGGTCTTAACACCTGGGTAGGCTCATAGTGGGGGACACAGTCCTTGAATACCTGGGACTCAAGCCATGTAGGGCTTTAGAGGTTAGAATCAGCACTTTGAATTGTGTCTGGAACCAGACTGGCAGTGGAGTTGCTGTAATGGGGGCAGGAGGTGTTATGTGATCCTTGTCCAGCCCTGCTGTAGCATTTTGGACCCGTAATTGCTGGAGCAAACCAGCCCACTTCCATAGGCCCCTGTCAGTGGCTTCTACTTTTTTGGTGTGGGTAGAATCACTTCATTTTGGTCCACATGTGTGATCGTTGGAAATAAACTGAAGGAAGCCTAACTCTTTTAATTTGCCAATATCATGAAGCCAGCCAAGTTAGGTATGTGCATTAAGTAGGTATACCTAACTTGTAATACACATGTCTAATGCTGTTTTTAAAGTGACACAATACATATTCACTGCTCTACTACACACTTATATTTTTTTCAATTTCTCAGCCCCCCAGAGCTGAGGAAGTGATTAATTTGCCAATATCCTGAACTAGCTCTCTTCTTAAGCCATTTCACAACAGTGGCAAATTGACAGCAGACTGCTGTGGACCAAATAGGGTTGCTTGATGTCCCTATGGATGCAAGGATTGCACCAAATGGCAAAACAGACCTCTGAGCAATCCTGTTTAGCCTGCTCCAGCCCAGCTGTGTAGATAAGCCATACTGTCTGCATGAAGTACAGTGAATTGCTGACGCTGAAATGAATGAACACAAAAAGACAAGAGGACAACCTATCACTAACTTACCTGATGGGCCCACCAGACCATTAGATAAGAAAATGCTGCTATCCAAGAGATTGATCCAAAGAATGTGAAGGGGAAAAACTTCTTTGATGACTACAAGACAGAAAATGGAAAAAGTGAACACATGAATTAATCGCTGTCACTTTACTTCCAGGCCTGTGCAGCACGGCATAATATTTGGATGCAGCACCAACACAGTCGTCTTCTCATAAGTTCTAACACATACCGGCCCAAACTGCAAACTAATTAACTTGTATTACATCTATGGCATACATCCGATATCATGCAAGTGAAGAGAAACCCCCCCTAGAGCAGCTATGCTGAATTAGACCATAGTACAAATGGCTGTACAAGACTTGGCACAAATTGCTGCTTGAAGAATTGGTTGTAAAATAGTCTGCACAACCTCTTGCCCAACTATTTGTACAACAAAGCTGCTATTGGATGACCCTGCTGCACATAAGTGCAATTGCTAGTGTGCTGTTGTAAGGACATTGCTGCATAAGGCATGAATAAAAACAACATGCTGTTTGAGATTTCCCTGCACAAGAATTTATCTATAGTTGTATGCCTGATAAACACATAACTCTATTTGTTAACGACATACAAGAAGGATACTCTGCTTCATCTTTTTCAGAGCATATTCAATATATTTTGGATCAATAATCTATGTTTTGTCATGCTCGTGTCCCAGATTTGTAGTTTCTCATTTTAAAAAGATAGGTCTTGTTTTGGTATCTACCTTCCCACATTTTATGCCCTTGTCCCCACCTCATCCTAATGTCCTCAGCTCCCAGTACTTTACAGTAGTGTTCAACAACTGTATTAAGAGAGAGATATTCTGAGAGAGATATTCTTAGGAACTGCTGGATAACTCGGTGGTTTAGGCATCTGGCTGCAGAGCCAGCGTTCAATTTCCCCAACTGTGCCTCATTGACAGGGGCTGGACTTGATGATCCACTGGGTCCCTTCCAGCTCTGCAGTTCTAAGATTGTTATTTTTATTATAAAAGCAGCAGTGCAATCTACATTAACTGAATGTCTGGCTCTCTTAATCAATTACTTCAAGCAGACAAAATTAATCCTGATCAATGCTGCACAATAATCCATTTCATAATGTCACCCAGAATGGATTAAGAGCTGACCTTGAATAATTTTGAATTCTATCCTTCAACCCTGAAGGATGGAACCTAAAACAATGTCCCTGAATATACTGTACACTTTTTTCACAAGTTATAAATAACTCTGAGGGGAATGGCAGGAATGTTCTTAAAACAGTTCTGAAAGAATTTCTTGACATTATTAATCAACTATCTTCCTCCAGAACATTTCCATCCAAACAACCTTCTGTGTTACACCTTCTGTGTAACATCTCCTGTTTCTATGCCTCTGGTCATAGAAACAGGAGATCTTAATAAGTATTTTTCATACACCTAACATCCAATTTCCACCTTGCCAGCACCAATAAGATTTTTTAAAATCAATTTTATTTATTTTAGCACAATTCATTCAGTGAACTAAAATGAACGGGAATGGGCAAATTCAATTTAGACAATTATCATATCTACTATTGTGGGCAAGAATCCCGTAGAAGAAGTGGAATAGCCCTGATAGTCAAACAAATAGTGGGAAAAGCTGTACGAAGATTTAATCTCAAAAATCATAGAATGTTTTCAATACGAATCCAAGGCAGACCTTTCACTTATCACAGTAATCCAAGTTTATGCACCAACCACCAATGCTGAAGAGACTGAAATTGACTAATTCTATGAAAACTTACAACACCTCCTAGAACTGACACCAAAGAAAGATGTTCTTCTCATTATAGGGGATTGGAATGCTAAAGTAGAGAGTCAAGAGATAAAAAGAACAGCAGGAAAGTTTGGCCTTGGAGTTCAAAACGAAGCAGGGCAAAGGCTAATAGAGTTTTGTCAAGAGAAGAAGCTGGACATCACACTCTTTTCCAACAACACAAGAGGCGACTCTATACATGGAAATCACCATGGAAATCATACCGTAATCAGATTGATTATATTATCTGCAGCCAAAGATGGAGAATACCTATACAGTCAGCAAAAACAAGACCTGGAGCTGATTGTGGCTCTGATCATCAGCTTCTCATAGCAAAATTCAAGCTTAAATGAAGAAAGTAGGAAAAACCACTGGGCTAGTCAGGTATAGTCGAAACCAAAACCCTTATGAATACACAGTGGAAGTGAAGAACAGATTTAAGGAACTCGATTTGGGGGACATGCTCGTAACATTGTATAGGAGGCAGCAACAAAAACCATCCCAAAGAAAAGGAAATGCAAGAAAGCAAAGTGGCTGTCCAACGAGGCCTTAGAAATAGAGAAGAGAAGGGAAGCAAAATGCAAGGGAGATAAGGAAAGTTACAGAAAATTGAATGCAGACTTCCAAAGAATAACAAGGAGAGACAAGACGGCCTTCTTAAATGAACAATGCAAAGAAATAGAGGAAAATAACAGAAAAGGAAAAAAACAGAGATCTGTTCAAGAAAATTGGAGTTATTAAAGGAACATTTTGTGCAAAGATGGACATGATAAAGGATAAAAATGGGAGGGACCTCACAGAAGCAGAAGACATCAAGAAGAGGTGGCAAGAATACAAAGAGGAATTATACCAGAAAGATATGGATGCCCCAGACAACCCAGATAGTGTGGTTGCCGACCTTGAGCCAGACATCCTGGTGAGTGAAGTCAAGTGGGCCTTAGAAAGCATGGCTAACAACGCCAGTGGAGGTGATGGTATTCCAGTTGAACTATTCAAAATCTTAAAAGACGGCGCTGTTAAGATACTACACTCAATATGCCAGCAAATTTGGAAAACTCAGCAGTGGCCAGAGGATTGGAAAAGACCAGTCTACATCCCAATCCCAAAGAAGGGCAGTGCCAAAGAATGCTCCAATCATCGTTCAATTGCACTCATTTCCCATGCTAGCAAGGTTATGATCAAAATCCTACAAGGTATGTATGTGGAGCGAGAACTTCCAGAAGTACAAGCTGGATTTTGAAGGGGAAGAGGAAGTAGAGACCAAATTGCTAACATG